TTCAGAGCTGTTGGACACAGGGTTGCTATAAGTCATAAGGGACTTGATGGCACACTAACTCCACTAAAATAAACAGGGTTTAATTGATGGTCTGACCTACAGTCTGCTGATAGCCTAGTTTTGACCACTAATATCGAGCTTTTGCAACGACGACTTTCACAGATGTAGTAAATCTGATTCTTTTGTAGTCTATCAGGTAAGCTCCATGTGTAAAGTCACCATTTTTGTCTAAAAAGTATTTGCAATGATTACATCATTGAACATACAAAATTTGATCATTCTATTTCCAGCCTCATTTCTGTCACCATGTCCATACTTTCTGTTGACTATTCCTTCTTGATTGTGTCTAACTTTTGCATTCTAGGCACCAAACAACATTAACACATCTTGATTGCTTGTTTGGTCAATATTGGGCTGTAAGACTTGGTAAAATTTTTCATTTCCTCCTATGTGGCTTTAACTATTATTTGCTTTCCTTGCTGTCTTACACATTTGAGCCATGTGTCCTGATTTGCTACATTTGAAACAATTTCTATTGGGGAGGGATTAAGAACAGCTTCTAGACTTGTGCTTTATGATGTTTAATCCCAACACTTGGTCAAGCCTTAAATTATGGCATCAGCAAGTCCTCAAATAATGCACTAGCTTCCATTTTCCTGATTTTTTGGGCACGGTGAAAATAGGAAAATTCCATGCATTAGTGTTCAACAACACATCAGCAGAGAACTAACTGCCAGAAGTCCAGGCTGGGTTTAGAAGGGGTCGTGGTACTAGGGATATTGTAGCTGATGTTAGATGGATCTTGGCTGAAAGCAGAGAATACCAGAGAAATGTATATCTGTGTTTCATTGACTATGCAAAGGCATTTGACTTTGTGGCTCATAACAAACCGTGTCTGACTCTGAGAAGAATAGGAATCCCAGAACACTTGAAAGTGCTTATGAGAAACCTACCCTTGGACCAGGAGGCAGTCATCAAAACAGAGCAAGGAAACACTACATGGTTCAAAATTGGGAAGGGCATGCACCATGGATGTGTCCTGTCTCCATACCTTTTCAACCTGTATGCAGAACAGATTATCTGGGAGGCTGGGCTCTATGAGGAGGAATGTGGGGTCAACATTAGTGGAATATCTATCAACAATCTGCGACATGCAGATGACACAACCCTGCTTGCGGAAAGTGAGGAGGACCTGAAATGCTTGCTGCAGAGGGTCAAGGACTGCAGCCTCCAAAATGGATTGAGGCTCAATGTCAAGAAGACAAAGATTCTCACCACTGGACCAATTGGCAGCATCAGGATGGATGGTGAAGAGATTGAGATTGTTCACAGCTTTAGTTTGCTTGGCTCCATAGTCAACCCTCTTGGCACCAGTAGCACGGAAATTAAAAGACATACTATCATGGGAAAGTCTGCTGTTAGGGACCTCTCCAAAGTACTGAAGAGCAATCGTGTCTCTCTGGAGACTAAGGTGCGTCTGATACAGGCCATGGTCTTTGCAATCACTTGTTATGCATCAGAGAGTTGGACAATGACTAGGGAGGACAGAAGGAGAATTGATGCCTTTGGGCTGTGGTGCTGGAGAAGAATATTGAGGGTACCATGGACTGCTAGGAAAACAAACAAATTCACCCTGGAAAGGGTCAAACTCGGCGGCTCCTTGGAGGCAAGGATTCTTCTGAGGCTCCGTCTAACATACTTTGGACATGTTGTAAAGAGGGACCGGTCCTTGGAGAAGGACATCATGCTTGGTAGGGTGGAGGGACAGCGCAGGAGGGGAAGGCCCTCTATGAGGTAGATTGATTTAGTGATTGGGGCATTTGGGATGGGTGTATCGGAGATAGTGTGATTGGCACAGGACTGAACGCAGTTTAGGGCTGTGTATATAGGGTCGCTATGAGTCATAAGCGACTCTACAGCACATAACAACAACAGTGTTAAATGTGACCAGCTTTGAATTGTTTTTGCTAACATTTTAAGCTGTTATAAATTCTTACCCTTCATAAACCACTGCCCCACTCACACAGGCTCTGTCGTTTTCCATTGTAGTGGGGGAGGTAGAATCAGAGCAGTGGCTGCTTAAAAGGTGGAATATGTAACCTTAGACTACCTTGTCCAGTAAATGTGTTCCCCATAATTTAATAGATTCTAGAACAAAAAGGTTTACTATAAGCCTTTTTATTTTCTGATCGGTACATTCTAAATCCTTTAGACTTTTTCTAGGTGAAGCTTGACCCCCTATTCTATTAATAGGTTGTAAATCAGGCATGAGGTGTCATCCATCTGGCTAAAAGGAGGAAGGGATAATAGATACATCCATTCCAATATCCAGCAGGACCTTTAACTTTCTTTGCTAAATAAGAATCTCAATTTCTGGTCTGCTAGAATAACCATGGAACACTAAAAAATAAGCATATTAGCACTTCTAAGTCCCTGTTGATCTCTAACTTTAGGATTTTTCTAAGGAACCCAGGAAGATATAATTGTCATATTTTAATTCTTGAAGGAAAAAAATTATTGTCTATAAATGTAGGTAACACATGAAATCTCCTGTGAGAAGCTCCAGATCTTCCTAGTATTAACCCTACAGAATCTTGAGGCAATGGCCCTGTCTAAAGAGGAGAAAACAGTACATGGGTACACAGGTCATGAGTGTCTGAAAGGACTCGAGGAAGTAAGAAGAGCACAGTCCCTCACCACCCGAGTACAAAAAGCAGATAAAGAGCCTATAGTCCAGCTGTGTGGTGTCTCTAGAGCCACACCATCAGCAAGACATTTGTTTACTCATTGTTGACTGGAGTTTATTAGGGAAGTAAATATTAAAGTACAGGAGGCAAAGAACATCACCCAATATAGGTCCAGGTTTTAGGCAAAGTTCCAAAGTACAAGTTCTCAATTAGTCCAGGCTCTGTTTTCAGTTCAGTAGTCAAATCCAAATCATCTAGCAAGATCTTCTCAGAGCAGTTATAAGTCAGTTTCTCCTTCAAACATCCAGTAAGAACAACAAAAACTTAACTGTGACCATCACAAATGCAAGAAGCCTCATATCACACCTTGTCACAGTTTATCCACAGGAATGCTACAATATCTCCAACAGCATCACAAGAGTATCACTAACAGAGTCTGCTTTATTCTATCTTAAGTTTTGCTGCCCATCATGGAAAGCACTCTTTATCTTATCCTAGTCCCACAGCTGTTGATGTTTTTAAAGACCATGCTGATTTGCAAGACCATGTGTTTGGAGTAAAAGTAGCTGGAGATCAGAGGAGGCTAATTTTAATGACTAAAAAAATGCGAACTTTTAGGCTATCACCACAGGACCCCATACTCCAGTGGGAGCAAGAACAAGTTCATTAGGACTGGGAATAATAAATTGATTTTTTTTTATTGTAACATCTAATCTTGTCCTTCTGGAGATTGTGGCAGATAAGTAATAACAGATTTTCTAGGTTTCCTAGGAACTTTCGAGGCATTCTAGGGATTTTCTTGTTTCTTTCCCCTTTTGTTGTTCAGAGCCAGGGATTCATATCCCTGAAAGAGCTTCCTAGAGTCTGAACTAAGGAATTGGAAGTTTGTAAAGGATTTCCATCTATACAAAATTTAGAGCAGCACTGATTAGACCAATGTTTCCTTCTATTACAGTGAGAGCAAACCTGGAAAGGAAGAACAGAGCTATTATTTCCTTTTACATTCAAGCCATGTGTCCTGATTTGCCACATTTGACAGAATTTTTTGGGGGGGCATTAAGAAGAGCAGCTAGGACGTATGCTTTATGATGTTCATTTCCAACATTTTGACATTCCTTAATGAATTCTCCTATTTCTTTAATAGTTGCTCAAATTGAGGGCAAAGCCTTTTGGCAATCTGCACTAGCATTCTTATAAGCCAACTGTAATAATAAAGTATCAGCTGCTAATTTATGACTCACTTGACGACTAATGGCAATCTGAAATCTGTTAACAAAGTCACGTCAGTTACCTGAGCTCCCTGCCTGATTTTAGTCAAGAGAACACCTGTCTTTTCCTCCCTGGGTAACTCTCTTACATGCCTCAAGGGCAATCTCAGTACATTGATAAAACAGGCATATCTTGTTATGTCTGTACATTAATATAAGGACCTTCTCCTAATATCATCTCTAGTAGGTACTTGATGATCCAAATTGAATATAGCCTCATGGATGCATTGATTTTTATATTTTAAAGCCCAAACACTATACTGATCTTGGGAGAGTTTATTTTTTACTAAAGCAGTCCAATCCCAAGGAGATATAATAAAGCCCTGTCAAAGATTCTCGCCACTGGGCCAATTGGCAGCATCAAAATGGGTGGTGAAGAGATTGAGATTGCTCACAGTTTTGGTTTGCTTGGCTCCACAGTCAGCACTCTAGGCATCAGCAGCCATAAAATGAAATGACGTATTGTGATGGGAAAGTCTGAGGTTAGAGACCTCTCTAAATTGCTGAAGTGCAACGATGTCAGTCTGGAGACTAAGGTGCGCCAAATACATGCCATGGTCTTTGTAATCACTTGCTATGCACCAGAGAGCTGGACAATGACTGGGAATGATAAAAGGAGAATTGATGCCTTTGAGCTGTGGTGTTGGAGAAGAGTATTGAATATACCATGGACTGCTAGGAAAACGAACAGGTTTGTCCTGGAGAGGGTGGAGCTGGGCTGCTCCTTGGAGGCAAGGATTCTAAAGCTTCATCTGACATACTTTGGCCATGTTGCAAGGAGAGACCAGTCCTTGGAGAGAGAAGTCATGCTTGGGAGGGTGGAGGGACAGCACAGGAGAGGAAGACCTCGATGAGATGGATTGATTCTGTGACTGGAGTAATGAAGGTAGGTGTGTCAGAGATAGTGAGATTGGCCTGGTATAGGTTAGAGTTTAGGACTGTTGTACATAGGGTCGCTGTGAGTCGAAGGCAACTTGATGGTACACAACAACAACATCTAATATTCCCAGAGTAAAAGAATGTTGTAATCCATTCTCATTCATACTTTTCTTAAGTTCTTTAAACACTTGAAAGGGTAAAGTTTCATGACGAGGAGCTAGTCCATCTTGTTCTATGATTACAGGTAAGGCAGAAACTTCTCCTGATTTTAACTTTCCTGTAAACAAGCCTGCATAGTAGAAAGAGGAGGATTATTTAAAACAGAGTAATTAGTAAACTTTGGTAGTGAAAGAGAAAATTCATCCTTGGACTCTTTTTCCACTACTGGAAGAAGTGCATTTGGGGTTGTACTTTTGGCAGCATGTAGAGGATATAGAGCAGTTCTTATAAGACTCTACGTAGTTAAGGCACTGAAAAGAATACTTCTTTCCTTTTCAGAATCCTTTTTATAACATTTTACCAACCTGTTCCCAAAGTTCTATATCTAAAGTTGCTATACCAATAGCGTTTTAAGCAATTTTAAGTTCTACCTTGTAAGAGGTGTCCTTTAAGAATTGTTGAAGCATCTGAATATATATTCTCTGGTCTTTAGTCAACTCTTGCCCCATCTTGAAAAATACCCTTATGAATACATACCTACATGTGGAGGTATTGGCACTGTCTCTTACCCAGATGATGTAGTTCGGAGGGTTTCATTTTCCTTCTTACATTGTTCTGTTCCCTGTTCTTCCCCTAACATATTGGGGTCACCACATGTTGCAGTTTGCTGACCAGCAGGAAAGTGCCAGGTGACGGAATGAACTACTCAAGACTGTCTTTAGTCAAGAGGTAAGGGTAGAGGAACTCAAGGTTGAGTAGCTTCACAACCTGCAAACCTCATAGCTTTTATTAGAGAAGTTTTACAAGCAGAAAAATGTGTTGAATAAAATCTCAAGATTAGCTAATCCTGGTTTTCAAAGCCATAGGCAAAATGGAATTTTGAGACAGCAAGAAAGTGTTTTCATTGAGATGTACACATATTTTTAGAACAGAATATTTTAGTTCTATGGGGACATGCTGACACTCCTTCACTAACCTACATCATTTGTCCTATAAAAGAAATTAAGATTTACTTAGGAATGTTTTCCTTACCCGTTCCCAATACACACTTAATAGAATTTTATCTTTGACAGAATTTTCTCTGACTACACACTCTCATTCCATGCAACCCTTCAACTAGCTAGCTTAACTTCTACAAATTGTTATTGTTGTTATCTGCCATCAGGTTGGAACTGATTCATAGCTGACCCTCCAGTGGGTTTTCAGAGGCTAGGAACTGCATGAAAGGAGATGACCCATCCATCTCCCATGGAGCAGCTAGTAGATTTTAATTGCTTGCTTTGGAACGATAGCATACCTCCTTTCCACTAAGCCATCAGGTATAAATAAAAAAATATATAATTGTCATCATGTTTCTTATTTAGTTCAATGCCAATTGCCCAAGGTTAGAATAATTAGTTATAATTTTAGCAAATTGAGGAAGAAGAAAACGTATCTTCTTTAGGATATTTGTTTATGGCCTAATTCTTGCTCCAAGATGATAGTTTCCCCCATTTTCCTTGTTTAGATCTCTCCATGATGCTGTTTGCTTTATATTGGAGGCCATCAGTGATAATTTTCCAACACTAATGCCCAGAAATCCCATCTTGGTTCCTAGACTGTAATATTTTTTTAATTAATTAATTTATTTTTTTTTAATTTTTTTTTAGACTGTAATCTTAACCGAAGGACTGTACTTTATCTTCATTAAGACTTTAGAACTGATTCTGCTATCATTGGGATCATTTGTACACTTAGACAAATTGATGTTCAACTGTGTCCTGATATTACCCAACCCTGCCCCAATTTTGCTCACCATTCATTTGTACACTGGTAGGCATTTGGAAGAAAAAACTTCCCAAGTGGTAAATCTCATGATATTTTTTGTGTTGGTATGGAGGTAAAATACTCCTTGCTAAATAACTTATTATCTCTTTAGGAAAATAGACATAAGTTCAATCATTGTACTGAATATCTTTATACATTTTTATTTTATGAAAATGTAAGACATAATTATTAATGAATGTAATGGTGTTTGTCCTAAATTCTAAGATTGTTTGAGTTTCGTATGCTTTGGGAGGCAGTGACAGAAAAGTTTTTTAGGCTTCTAGCTTATCACACAATTCCAACGTGGCTCATGCCACTTCTTTCGAAGGTTGTTTATCTCAGATTGAAGTTGTCTGCTTTCATTTAGGAATCCTTCCCTGAGAAGTTTCTCTTGTTCCTAAAGAGAGATGAATGGAGACTTATACAGTACAGTGGTTAGTAAACTCTCTACCCTCTCTCTAGTTTCCATATTTGTTGATTTTAAATATTTCAGTCCTTCTTGACTTAATCTGTACCCCTTACTTTAATTATACTTTCTCTTGGATATCCTAACTCTCTTAGTTTTCTACATTTTCTTTAGTTAAGGGAAAATTTTCAGTTTATGTCCCCTGAGATATTGTTATACACAAAACACTAGTCATAATCTTTCTTCATTAGTTGCACACAGCCTTAGCAGGCAATCTTAATCATATTTTTGGTTTCAAATCTTATATGTAAATTTTGGACCCTTGGATACATACATACATGTATTATCATTTACTTTCACATAGCACACAAATAAATAAAGCATTTTTATAATCTGATAAGATATGAGAACTGTGTATTAGGGAATTTTATGTAAGTCTCCAAAGCTTGGTGCTGAAACAACTGCAAATTCTGGCCTTAAGTTGAAATACTGAGAGGTGATACTGGACAAAATCTTGAAGGATTCAGGAAGCATCAAAAGAAGATAGAAAACGTTATGCTGAGTGAAATATCCCAGTCACAAAAGGACAAATATTACATGATGCCACTGTTGTAGAATGGGACTAACCTCAGGGTTGGGGAGAGACTGAGTAAGATGTGTTCAATAATGTATACTGCACTGAAACAGAGGAGGGAGAAAACTGTGTAAAAGAGATATGTGACTAGGTATTTCTGTCATCACAGGAGTCTA